TAACAAAAAGGCTTCTTCTTTGGTTTGGTATTAACACTATATATTCTAAAACACCCAAATGGGATAACTATATGGACTGGTGCACGAGTATTCTATTTTATAATTATTTAATATGAAATACATGTATTAAAAAATCATTTTTTTTTTATCATGGACAGTGATACAAGGTTGATATCTTAGACAATAATGTGTACTTCATGTCTGTACTCAGGCAAGATGATTTTAGTAATAAATAAGTAGCTATGATGTCGATATATATTTCTATCTTTGGATAATAATTATAAGAATGCAAAAAGATTACATTTGCTTTATATATTATTTTTAGAAAATCTATTAATTTCTCTGTAAATCTAATATAGTATTAAAAGGTTATGTTCCTCCAATAAAAATAAATTAAAGGGATCGATAATCAAATTTATTTTGTTCAGTAGTTCAAAAAATTTAATGTTGTCTATTGTGAAACTTTTGAAAAAAATCTCCAACCTAAGTTAATTTTTCTAGAACTGGCACACATGCTCATGTTGAGAAATTGGAATTCTGCTACAGAGACTCTGTTTCTCATTAAAGACAATGTCAGAAATGATTAGAGGTTCCTCATTGTATGTTAACCGAATTCTATATGTTGTGAAGAAAAAGAAAGAAGTCTACGTAAATTACAAATTGTTAACAGATGTAGTAATTGAGAAGAATTGCTTTCATTCTTCAGTTCTTCATATTAACCTATATGATTACAGCTGCTGTGTTTCATGCTTTACTGTATGAATTCAGACGGCCAATCATGCCTTTCTGTACGAATAACATTTTTAGATGAATGATATCCTCTATTCATTTAAATTTTATGGTGCAATCTTTCATCTTCTTCGTAAAGAAGATTAAGATAATACAAAAATTATTAAAAAGTTAAATGCAAAGCAGTAAGAATAATTTATTTCCAATATTTTTTTCTGTTTTTTTTTTATAAATTCATCTTACAGCGACATAAGAAATTAATTCAACAAAAGTAAAGTTTAAATACTTCAGGTATGTTTATTGTGTAATAAATCACTTTCCTGGGATTTAGTTTTAGTAGAGACCACGAGAGAAGCTAAACTACTAACCCCCCTCCCCCCCTTGGCATTCACACCAGTAAAAATACTCATCTGTAAACAATCTAGGCAACGTTAAGACATCTTATACCCCATTCATACGACATGATTTGCATACCTCAGTATATTTTACACATAAGTAAATTTACTTACATGTGCAATTTTTGTCGTATGAACTGATTTACTCATATGCAAATTCTGCACAGTTAAGTAAATTTACACCTGGTCAGGACTAGGTGCAAATTAACTTTTGCATATACTTTGTAGCAAATTATTTGTTCATGTGTGTAAATGTTGTCGTATGAACGCGCAGCAACTTTACTTATGTATGTATTTTGTTTTGGTTATTGAAAAATTCCCCATTATCTCCTCCGAGATAAATTTTGGAATTTGCAAAAAAGAGGGCATCTTGCACCCTTTCTGGCAAACCTATGTTTATGTCTCTAAAGATATAACTGCGGTCGCAAACAAGTGCTCTGTAGGATCAATAAGTAATTTTCTAACTATTCAACTTGTCTCCTTTGGAATGCTCCGAAGCTATGATAGGAACATGCATTCCATCAATTGCTCGGGCCCCATTACCCTTTAGCTCTTGATGACTTTCTTGGTCGCAAACAAGTGCTCTGTAGGATCAATAAGTAGTTTCCTTACTATTCAACTTGTCTCCTTTGGAAAACTCCGAAGCTATGATAAGAACATGCATTCCATCAATTGCTCGGGCCCCATTACCCTGTAGCTCTTGATGACTTTCTTCTTTCTCCCTTATTAATCCAGGCAATTTAAGCTACTCACATATACGTTAATGTTACAGGATTTTCAATAAGATGTTGAAAGTAAGCATTTGTAAGTATCCTCTTTGGCATATAATCACAGCATGAATGTCCAGGTGTTCATGTTAATTTCCTATTCCCGTTATTTCCCGATTATGACAATGAGCACTGGGCGGGTGTGACTGGTCGGCAGGGGATGCTCATTCCTCCATGGCACCTGATCCCACTCTGATGTTTTGGAGGTCCGTGTTTGCTCTACTCCTATTTTGTATTGTTTTATGGACTTTGATATTGAATATTGTTCATTATTTCCATATCCTTCATGTATCATATTCAAGCGGATATTTTATAATGGCCTCACACACTTGATGTACTGTAGATATCCCATCACCAAAAAGATTCCAATCGTCCTATTTCTGCTGAAGAAATCAATCAGTAGATAGCAACAGTCACCTTTTTCTTTACACCCAACAGCTTTTGTACAGTCTTTAGGACCGAGGCCAAAACATTTTCCAACATTAGATAAAAATTTAATAAATGTTCCTTCTTCGTGTGTAAATTCTTATACCATTCTTTGTCCTTACAATCATGAAGTTCTTTTTCTTTAGTACCAATAAATTAGTGGATCGGGTCCCAAGACCATAAACTGAGAACTGAGAAGTTAAATTTTTGATTTTTGATATCTCGAGTTTTATTTTATGTACATGTATTTGTTTTTTTTTTAAAATTAAAATATTGTGTAATATTTCAATTCAAATATATGATTAAAACTTAATTTGTTTCAATATCAAAATTATTTCAAAATTTCTAATAGTTTAAAACTTTGACTGAGTCTGTTCTCAGTTTTTGGTCTTGGGGCCAGATTTCCATTCTAGTCGTTAAGAAACATTCAAAAGTTTGTCTTTTACCCAAACAGTAAGGAAATACACTTTTTCTATGAAAATTCACAATTCTGAATATGTCCATCTCCTTATTTTATATGAAAATTTGAGGATTTACTAACAGTACATAAATCATCTGAACGCATTGCAAATTAACTTTTACTCATGTGTGTAGATTTACTCATATGTAAATTTGCACACATAAGCAAATTTTCGTCGTATGAATGGGGCATTAGAAGATTTTGGACATTAAGCAGCTATAAATCTTCCTAAAACATACATGGCTTAATGAAAAGTTTGAAGATAACAAACAATTTGTTGACTCAGAAACTGTCAAGATTCCATTGTTAAGCAGCGATCGATAATCATTCTTTAAGCTCTAACTTTAAAAACCACTTAGGTGAGTTAAAGACGATTTATTTTCCTTCTTCGAGCACCTATAAGCCGTCTTAAAGCCTGTCATAAAGGAAAACTTGTACATTTTTAAAGAATTCTTTGTCTTTATCTCTTTATTGGAACGAAATAAAGTATATCTTGGTATAATGGTAACGACATTGTAATCGAAAGTGTCCAAAACTACCTGGTAGATAAAAAATAAATCAACATTTACTGAACCTTGTTGTTGTCATTCTAAGCAACATGCATATGCTAAATGGAATTTTAAGGTTTTTTCCTCCCACCAATCTCATTCTATGGTATTTTGTATGACTTGAACGAACAAGGCTTTTTGTACTACTCACTCAAAGCTATAATTATCTTGCTTTCATTTGACATATTTGATAGGTTTCTAAATATGACTTAAAGTTTCCCTTTTAAATCTTAAAAACAAATCTTCATTGTCGTTTAGACGGTTAGCTATAGACCAAACATATACACACTTTTAAAGAAAGCATAGACATGCTGCATGCTGATCTTTTTTATTAATATGGAGAATAAAATTATGATGCATAAAACCATAATTATACACTTTTATCTGCATACAATTTTCTTTACGAGCAAGAAATATATGTAAAGATTTAAATAAAGATTTTTCGTTCTTATTTTTATGCAACGAATTGATTGATCCTGGGCGTAAATTGTTTTTATCCTGTCTGTCTATTTGTTTGTTTGTTTGTCTGCAAACTTTAACCACCAATATAACTTTTGAACCATGATTGATTGATTGTATACTGTTTAACGTCCCTCTCTAGAATATTTCACTGATATGGAGACGTCACCATTGCCGGTGAAGGGCTGCAGATTTAGGCCTATGCTCGGCACTTACGGCCTTTGAGCAGGCAGGGATCTTTATCGTGCAACACCTGCTGTGACACGGGGCCTCGTTTTTTACACGATCTCATCCGAAGGACCGCCCAATTTAGTCGCCTTTTACGACAAGCAAAGGGGTTCTGAGGACCTATTCTAACCCGGATCCCCACGGGGCTTTTGAACCATGAAAGATAGAGACTACATATTTTGTATGCATACTCCACTAATTAAGCTTTTTCAAATGACACCAAGGACAATGGCCTTGTAACCTTGACTGTGACCTATATGTTAAAAATAGCTTTTTATCTGAAAACTCGTTAGAGGGCTTGATACGTTAACGTAAAGTTCTGACTTCAAACCTCGGCTGCAACACTGACCTAAGTCAATAGAAATAGGTAGCAACTGCTGCTTCGCCAAGTGCTAAGCATTTTGAAATGAAAGTTAAGGGTCCTTCGGATGAGACCTTAAAAACGAGACCCAGTGTCACGGTAGGCGTTGTCATGATAAAAGATCCCTCGCTGCTAATGGGCCAGAGTGCCCAGTAAAGATCTCAAATTAAAGGCCTTCTTAGGTATATGGTGAGGTCTCTTTATGAGTGAAAAAAAATTCTCGAATGGGAAGTAAAAAACATAAAACTAATCAATTGATATGGACATAAAAATGTTTAAGAGTAAACGTTGGCAGACATTCTAATTCACATGGAATATAAACGCACTCAATAGAATTTGTTAACATATTTTACCAAGACAACATTAGAAAGTACTCAAGGTTTTTATCTAAGTCACCTAATTCTTTTTCTAGGTTTGTGATCACCGAAGTCAATAGATCGCAAGGATTTCATTTGCGTCATAGAAAAACAAGAAACAGCCGTTATCCTTTTCGAGATTCTCTTTTGTTTGCAAATAATTTGCGGATATATAAAGGGTGATCTTTAACTAACCCTATCATTTACACTCTCTACATCCTGAAAACAATGCAGTGTTTACTACTTGTAGTTCTGTATATAGTCGGTTTTAATGAGATAATTGGTGTCCAGTCCCTTACAGACAAAACTTTAATGGACAACCAGTTGTTACCTGATACTACGTCTGGTAGAGTTTCCAATGTTTTACGAGACATTCTCAATCAAGAAAGTTTAGTTCGGTTCTCGATGGTACAGAAAATTCAGAATCTGGTTATGGATGTCATTGATAACAAAAACGGCACTCGAGACATGAAGAAAAGGCTTAACGATGTTATAAAAGAACTACAGGAGTCAGAAGAATGGCAACAAAGATTAAGAAAAGAAAATTTGAAATTACACGAGGAATTAAAGATCTTGAATGAGACACTTGGTGAAAATCAAAATCGCACGATAAAAGATATTCGAACTTTAAATGAATCAGAAATAAGTTTATTAAAGCGCCAAACTTTCGATCTGCAGAAGAAAAATCGGGCATTAACGAAAGAAAACATGGAAATGAAATCCAGAATTGAAATCAATCATGAAATATTAACTTTTGTGAACAACAGCCAGACTGGATTACAAGAAGAAATTCAAGAAATGAAGACAGCAGTTGCAAATAATTCACAAAAGCTTAGCAACAAAAACAACTTTTTTTCTGAAGAATATAAATGGCTAGAAGATCAACTAAATCGAAAGGATAAAACTCAGTACAATATGTTGGAGGTTATGTTCAAAAGAATTTCAGTCACAGTCAATAAAATACTGGACAATATTCGAGAGAAAGTAAATCAATCAATGTCACAATTATCGGGTAAGTTATCTAGAGGTAGTCAAACGTTATTGTAATCATGTCACAATTATCGGGTAAGTTATCTAGAGGTACGTCAAACGTTATTGTAATCAATGTCACAATTATCGGGTAGGTTATCTAGAGGTTCGTCAAACGTTATTGTAATCAATGTCACAATTATCGGGTAGGTTATCTAGAGGTACGTCAAACGTTATTGTAATCAATGTCACAATTATCGGGTAAGTTATCTAGAGGTACGTCAAACGTTATTGTAATCAATGTCACAATTATCGGGTAAGTTATCTAGAGGTCTCTGTTTTTTTAAATATTTACCGGTATGTTGTTTGAAGAATTTTGTAGATCACTGTTCATTATTTTTACCTTTTCCATTTAATATATATACTGTCATTTACAATGAGTAAGTAAACAAGACAAATGATTAGGCAAAATTATATAAATATTGTATGTTTTTCATAATGAAAAAAATTATAAGATGATGTTTTTCATAATTTGTACAACTCTGTCCATTTTATGAACGAAAAGAAGAAATAGCTGTTTTACCTACGAATTCTGTGTATTAATAAATAATAATAATTTACCTTATTCCTTTATAATAACACTACTTCAAAATAAAAACCTTAGTAAGCAATCATCACAGTATTGACAGTGAGGTAACATATTCAGTAGTAATTTATGTATATTTATTGTTTCTACTGCATTAAATGTGTTTTTATCATTTCATATAATTCTCTCATTATCACCCGAATCGATTACTTATGAATTCTATACTAGATATAAATGTCATAGCTGCATAGCATTCACATTGGATTTGATGGAACTAAAATGACAAAGAGAATGAAATACAAATGCTACGTATGGATCAACTATGATAAATTATCACATCATGTCTTTTTCCAACTCATTCAGCAAATTTCAAACTTTTTAATTTGGTTTATTTACATAAAATTAAACCATTTAGGGTTTCAGTAGTCTAGAGGTAGTGCCTTTGAGGTCTCAGTTTTATTCTAGTTCCCGGTGCCGCGCAAAACCAAAGAATTAAAAACAATACTGACCGTTTCTTTGCCAAGCATCCGGCATAAGAAAGGAAACTAAGACCTTAAAACCCCTAAATCCCATGTCCGCTGTCACAGTAGGCGTCGGCAAAATAGTGAAATCTTCACACTACGGTATTAAGCGAAATTCCTGGTATTAGGCCTATACGTAAAAAAGACTCAATTTATCTGAATGAGAATTACTTTTATATGACGTTAAATAACAAGAAATCACTCAATCATGAACAACCATGAGAACTAATATCAAATTGTGTTTCATTGATTACAACTGAGCAAAACAAAATTATTTTTATATGCTAGATTACATATTGATACACAGTAAAAAAGAAATAAAAATAAAATATTTTTTATGTCAATTTACGCGAGTATTGAATTAAATTTTGCATTCATGTAAATAAAACAAGGAAAAAGTACGTATAATAATATACAACTATTGCTGTTATTATAATAATAATATAATAATAATTGTTTTATTATATGATTCACTGATAAAACGATACAGCTCATTATTTGTTTGCATTTATTAAAGTTCTCGCCAAATACAAGAGAGAAGCAGAATTAAAATGTAAATAAACATTACACATGTTACAAGTCGTATTAATATAAAAATAATTTTTTTTTATCAATTTTAGTTGCCAGGAAAAAATATTGGATAGATTTTGAAAGGAATGAGTATTATCAGGGAAAATTGACTGCCAAAAAGTAAATATTGTTGTTAAAGTAATAGTGTTGGAGCCTCTTACCACCCTCACGTACCCGAAAATATATATATGCTTATCTTTTGTTCAATTGAAAAAAAGTCATAGTCGTTTAAATAGCTTACCAATTCAATTTGTATATATTTGGAATTTCCCGATCTATTTTTAGATCAATGTTAGAGGAAAAAATCCTTGTATTCACCTGGAAGGTTACGTGCAGGTCAATACAATGTAGTATTTTTCTAACATAGTTGGATCTCAGCCAATCAGAGAGATGGAAATTATTCCATCATATAATAAATATTATCATTATATGATTGAATTATTTCCCTCTTTCTGATTGGTTTGGATCCAACGATGTTAGAAAAATACTACGTTATATTGACCTGCACGTAACCTTCCAGGTCAATACAAGGAATTCTTGCAGGTCAATATAATGAATTATTGACGTGTTCCATTTATTCTGTTACAGTGTGTTCTTGTTGAAATTTCTCGTTAAAACTTTCAATTAAAGAAAGAAACAGTCTTGTAGGAGTTTGCTATCATTTAAGCATATAATAAAACAGTTATTGCTTTTTGCGGTCAATACGATAATTTAGCCACCTTCAAAGTACAATATTCACTTCACCCTTCGGGCTCAGTTACTGATGTACTCCTCAGGTGTCTAAATCATCGTAATTTAAACATCAAATAAAACCTGCATTACAACCTGCCTTAAAATTTACCAATGACATCATTCTATTTTATTACAATTTTTATTTTGTGTCCAGTTTTTTTTAATTCATAAAGTGTGTATATTTTCAGCTGATTCAAGACTCTTCCCAAGGAATTGCTATGATAGACTGAAAAAGAATCCCAGGCTGAAAGGAAAAGATGGCGTCTACGATATTGTCGTCGACTTTAAAATCACCTCCGTTTACTGTGACATGACTACAGACGGAGGCGGGTGGACGGTGAGTGTAACATTTGACAGTAAGATGATAAAAATATATAAATGCTTTGATAAGAAATAGTAATTTTGTTACTATGTTTTGGTGGTGTAACAAATACTTATTATTATTACTTCTTAGAAAATATTACACTTTCTGATAATTTGTCCTATTAATCATGAGGAAGGATATGGAGATAACGAACAGTATTCAATCTCAAAGTCCATAAATCAACACAAAATTATAGCAAAGCAAACACGGACCCCCGAGACATCAGAGGTGGAATCAGGTGCCATGGAGGAGTGAGCATCCCCTGCCGACCGGTCACACCCGCCGTGTAATCCATGTCATGATCAGGAAATAAAGGATAAAATCCGTCGTCAATTCAGTGTATAAATTATGGACTAACAATTAGTATGAAAAACGTCAGTCAGCATTTGACTCAATTATAAATTGTATTTGCTGACAAGGTTATTGTATCGACCATAGAACTTACGAAATGATGACTTTAAACGAGACTACTGATACTCTTGTTTCATCAACTTGCTTGTCAAAAATTTACCTCGTTTTAGAAATTGTTCATACATAGAGCATGCTATTGCGTATCGAATCAATTGAGATATATATACTCCGTATGCATGTGATGAAGGTATATTGCTGCATTAGTAAGGGAAGTTGACGATAGAAAAGTTAAGGTCATCACGTTTATCATATAGCTTGGTTGTTAGATTACCATTAATGTCCTTTTCAAGAAAAATTTCCAAGTATGAAACAGAATTATCAGACTCTGTGGTATCTTTTATCTAAAGCTCACCAGGATATATCGTATCGACGTAGGAATGAAAATTACCATTATTAATGACAATACGTCGTCGATATATCTAAATGTCGATTTGAAGGCCACAGCAAGTGTTTTATTCTTTTCACGCATACGATTTTGCATAAATTCTGCTTGATATGAATATAAAAATAAGTCCGCTAGCAACGGAGCACAATTTGTACACATGGGAATTCCTACAGATTGTTGGATTGCCTGGTCTCCAATAACTACATAGATATTGTCAATCAAAAACACAAGCATCTTCTTGATGTCAGCTTCAGAGTGCTTATGTGTGCAATCAGAATCTGTTTTAACAAAATAATTTTGCAAATGACCAGTGACGAGGTAAGTAAATTTACGAGTTCCATTTTTATTGAAGAAGCAGCTGTAAATGATATCGAAAATCCTGGATTTTAATTTGTGGAATTGTTGTGTATAAATTTGAAAAGTCGGAAGTTTTTAAGCTGTTGATTTTTGTAAAGTCTTGTGATTTCAAATTGTCCAAAAGTTCTTTAGAATTTTTTAGTATCCACATTTAATTCACACCACTTCTTGAATATATAGTTGCACAGTACTCTTGAAGTTTCTCTTGAAATCTCAATCACATACTGCCAGAAAATTAACTTTGCCGCTATACTCCTTTAGGAGCGGGTATCATTATGTAAGCCCAGTGCTTACAGAACTTGTGGTTTTCTTTTTAATTAACGTAGCAAAAAAAAAAAAAAAAAAAACCAACTCAAGGAAGATATTAATCGAACGAAACCGTAAGAGCAATCCACCTAACTGATGATTTCTGTCCTAAAATTTTTTTTCGATGGTTTCCCCTTTGAAATAGAATTATTAATTTCTCTTACAATTTGCAACTTAACCCCTTCCATGGCAAAGATTTTAAGCATTACTAGACAAATTGATATTAAAATTTCAATCAATTTTTTGAGTATTTCTTGTAATTTTTATATTTACCAATGTATATAAATATTCAGAAATCAGGTATTGTGTAGTTTCTGAAAATGATTATAAAATATCTTTTCAATTGCCATGGCAACAAAATACACCATAATCATGCTAGAATTTCTATTTATTCCAGAATGAGTTTCATTCTATTTAATTTTTTACTTTGTTAAATATATCAAAAAATATTTAATTGTTTTGTTGAAAATTATGAGCATATTGTGCATTTTTTAAAAAACCAATTTTAAGTATTTTGGGGGTTGGTGGGGTGAGTTTGGGAAGTAATCACCAGAATTTAGCATTTTGACACATAACATGTTGTCCCCGCATTGATTTCGATAATGGCAAAACCGCTCAAATAGTGCGCAAAGTTTAACTCACGCTACCAAAAAAACTGGAATAACCAGTAAAGATGTATGTATATTATTTTATCATAATTATTTTCTCTTTCCAACTGTGCAAGATTTAATCTGATATTTTCAGCATTAACGAAGTTATGAATGTGTTTTACAATATACTCGTTTTTCAATTCAGATGCGTAGAAATGCGTATATGTCATGTAAGGGGTTAAACAGAAGAAATATAAAGATTATGCTATATCATTATTCAATCACAGAGACAATAAGGGGTTTCTTACCTTCTTTTCAGCACTTCTGATGAAATGACAAAGGCTATTTAGGCGACCAGCCTTTTTTTAAATTCAAGGAATTAAATTTTTCAGTCAGGAGATAAAAAAATGTCACGTTCTACATGCATTTAATGTGAATATTACATCGTGATTAACATTTTGCACTGTTCTATTGCTTATCTATAGTATCTTTTAAAGGATCGATGATCATAACTTTTAGCTATATTACAAAATTTCTACTTCATTGATTTTAAATGAAACGTATGCTTGCAAAATTAAAAATGAAGATAAAGACCAATAAAAAGAAATAACAGCTCTAGAAAATATTTATTTAAACTCTTCATCCCGTTTCAAAGAATTTCAACTCCATCACCAATACGTGTTAAAAATCTTTCTAAATCCCCAAATTCTTACAACTGAATGTAAAACCTGCTGAATTTAGGAGTAAACCCTTATCAGAAGGTTCATCGGATTATCCGTAAATTTATATTTAACATAGACAACATTTAATGATTAAAATTTTATTTATTTATACAAAGAGATGCAAAATATGAAGAATTTTAAGATGTTATTGGCTGTTTTTTGCATGAGACCGGAATACCGAAATCCAGCGTGACAGCAAGTGTACATGTGGCGTCTAAAAGAATTTTTACTCAAAGTGCTAAAAAGCATCGAGCAAAATTTATTACAAAATTAATGAATCAGATGTAAAATGTTAAATAAAAAATGTTACCTATGAAAAAAAAGCGGAATTTAGTCTTATTTCGTATTTTTTTAATTGGGCTAGGATGGGTATTGTCCTTGTTAATAAATAAATATTTTTTTTACTGTATATACTAAATAATACGTGATTGTACGTAACGAATGGCATGTACATTTGCATTAAACCTTTAAGGTTAAAATAAAATACTTTCAGAAAAACTTTTAATTTTACAAAAAAAAAAAAAAAAAAAAAAAAAAAGAAAAAAAAAAAACTTGTCTATGAGACAAGAAATGTTAACTTTATGAGCTATGATGAACTATGGTTACACAATACAGTATTGTTCCTGCTTTCAATTTTCATGTTTATGCATTATGTATATAAAATACACATGAATATGATGCCTATATATGTACAGTGGGCAACGGCCTTTAAGTACCTAATAAAAATCTTATCTTATATCTTATCTTATCTACATATAAAATGGTGGAATGATTGGTGAATTGCAGCTACCATTGCTTTTAATCTCATTAAATATTGAGCTTGTGTATTTTAGGGAGCAAATATAAACTCCATACCTTCGTATTTTTAGCTTTCCATAGAAAGTCATAGGTAATATTGTATCATCTCACAGAATTTTTGTGTGAAACTATCTTCGAGATGATTTAGCTTGAGATTAATGATTTTACAGTAAAATTTGCTATCTAGCTGACGTTCATTATCAATTAAGGATGTTATGAGTTTTTTTTTAAATTACAACGCACATGTTTTTGTCAGCTTTGTTTGATGAAAAAGTCTTAACAACCTTTTAGCCTTTTTAATGCTTGGCGTTCGGTGATGCATAAGTTGTCAGACGGTTTGCGAATTTCCATAGATTACAATTCAAGTATTGTTTTGTAAGTATTTGTTTGAACTGAATTGGTCTTTATTTGAGGTTCAAAATCGCTTTTCATGTGGGAAGATGTATATTGTTATCATTATCTGGATCAAGAAACATTTATTTACATTTTAATTTTCTGGCAAATTCATTAAATTCTCTCATCACTTGTTGTTTGACTCGGTGTGTGATAGGTGAAGGTACAAATTTTAGACCTTTTGCCAAAAGTAAATACTTATCATCTGTCAATCTGTCAGGTGTGAGATTAAACACATGAGCTCTCTAACTTTTCGAGGTTTAAAATTCATAGTTCTGTTTTTCTTAGATTTAGATTGGGCGTTTCGATTGAAACGACGAGCCATTCTGCAAGTGAATGTGTAAAATAATGACAACAGATATATCCTTCAAAATGTGGGAGGAGTTATGGGCGATTTCGCTCCAATCAGATTAACGCAGCCAAGAGCGTATTTTGACATGAAGGATAATGAAATCCCAAAAACAAAAGATTAATAAATTTGCACAATTAAAATTAATGGAGTCTTAATTGAGATTCAATATAGAACGATGTCAATTTCAAATAGAGTACACCATAATGTTTTAATATGGACGAAAGTTTTGTCCTAATTGCACTTGTTTCCCGTGTTTTTCTCTTATGTCCTTCGGTTATCTCTTAGGTAATCGTTCAGTTGGTTTTTTCACCGATCTTAATCTTTGAAGAAAAGGCCTTCCAAAAATATTATTCAATATCAGAGCATTCATTTACATTTATGCTCCTTATCCGTTTTATTATAGATGATTATTACGACCATTTAAATAAAATGTGTTAGTAAACGGGGTAAGTCCAAGAATTCATTTGTTTTACATTTGACAAGTACATAAATTTTACTAATTTTTTTACAGGCTCGTTTACATACAGCATAAAAGAGATTTTATTTCTTCGCTTGTTTTATACAAAATGTAGACCAATTATGAAGCTATTGGTCTTACAGTATTTTTGACTACGGATTAATTTGTTTACCAGATTAATACGGCAGCGGCGGGGATTACCTGCAGATAGTTATCCCTCAAATCCTATGCAACTTATCCCACATTTAGTGTTGTCAGGAGACATCATGCGATATTTTCTTTACATTTTCGTCTTATTCTCCATGTTGGTCTATATACTCGCCTATAAGTCGGTCGGCCTATGAGTGGGATGTATTTTGAAGCTTATATTAGAGGGATTAACCTTCTAAAATACCAGTCTTTTTATATCTCGCCTATAAGTCAGACATAGAGTCTTGGACTATAAAGTTTATCTCCCAAAAATCCGACTTATAGGCGATTATATACGGTATTTTTTCCAATACCTATCCAAACTGTTTATTGTATAAAAATGTAAATTCATTGAGTTTTTAAGAGATTACTTACACGTACATCTTCAGTGCGGGTGGGACAGGACATTTTATTAGCTTTTTTGTTTTCTACAGATAACATTTTTCCACAACCATTCAACCTTGAATTTAATGTTTAATGAGATTTGAAGAGAATAATTTCATTTAGGGTAGTGCAAAACACCAGTTGATTAAATTTTAACTCATTTCTTAAAAAGTACTGGAGAAAAAAAAGAATAATATTACTATATTGACAACAATGAATAATCCCTGTAGGAAAAAATAATAAGTTTTGGCATGTTTTCGTCATATTTTGTGAAAAAAAAAGAGAATCCTATATATTGGTCACTTGGGAGATTACATTTAAGAATGTGTTTACGATATCTAAATGCAATAAACAACCATATAACAGTCTGTCATTAAATGCAGGGTAAATTTTGTTCCATAAATAGTGGAGGGCTGATATTTGGGAAACATATATAAGGAGTCTCCATTCGTAATGAACTATAAAGGTCAAGGTCACATCTAAAGGTGAAAGGTCAAATATTGTGACGTCATCTACTGAATCTTAAAGTTTTTTTGCCATTGAATTTTTTTAATCGCCAAAGTTTCAGAACAACTGAATATGAGGAAAAAATTGGCCTATCTATTGTGTCCTGCCTTAATAGGTGCAGGTATGACAAGTTGACTCCTGGTCCCACTTCTGCTGTATTTACGGTTCCATGTTTTTGCTCTCTTCCTGACGTTTATCATACTCATTGTTAGTCCATTATTTAAACACCGAATTGACGACGGATTTTTCCGTTATTTCCCGATCATGACTAGGAGCACACGGCGGGTGTGACCGGCCGGCAGGGGATACTCACTCATCCATGGCACCTGATCCCACCTCTGGTGTGTAAGAGGTCCGTGTTTGCTCTGCTCTTGTTTTGTATTGTTTTATGGACTTTTGATCTTAAATACAGTTCGTTATCTCCATATATTTCATTTATACCGACAGAATTTTTAACACGATTAACTTTTTTGTAATCTTCACATTTCACATTTTAACTTTAGTGCTCATAATACCTTATATTTGTATCTGCATGAGGGCTCTTCGCATAGTTCAATACTTCTTTGATATTACTTTTTGTTTTATTGTTTGTTTTATTCATGAATGATCCATGTATATAAGCTTGTTGTATTTATTAACGCCAGCCATCATACTTATTAGGTTTTACAGAAGAGAATAGACAACTCAACTGATTTCTATCGAACTTGGAAAGAATATAAACATGGTTTTGGGGATCCAAAAGACAACTATTGGATTGGTAAGAATTAAGACTTTGTAAGGAAACTTTAATCAATACTAGTTACGTGGTAGGAAAGCATGACATAGACCATTTGTTCACAAAGCAAGACTTTGGAGCATTGATTGTTTATTTTTGCACTACTTCGAGCCATATTGGATTAAATTAATATGCAAATCCCGATGATTTGAATTACATATTTATTTTTGATGAAACAATTAACAGTTGTTACCTTTATGATATATCAAAATGATGTCGTATGATCATTAGTACACAGGCGTGCTTGCCATATATGATCCACATATTGGTATCATATGTGGATCAAATAATTGGTTTCATATGAAAATCATAAAATGGGCATCATATGTGAATCATATGAAGCAAATCTTCAACATATGAGTATCATATGTGAGTCATATGAAAATAACTTCATTTGATTTACACATGAAAAGTTAAAGTGTGTTTCAAGTCATTTACTGATGAGAATAATGTGAAAGTAGCATCAAATGCAAATCATATGATACATATACGTGTTTTTTCTTCATATTTATCAAACGGAAATACTCACTTGTGCACATTGAAAAACAATTATTTCTTCTTTAGATGAAATTTCAGCATATTCCAATGATCAGTTAAATATCTGTAAATATCTGATAATACTTTCACAATTTTTAAGCCAAAAGTATCTTCATCAAGAGAAATTACTAATGTTACACATTGCACACTTTAAACAAAAATGTATACAAACAAGTCATTAGCATTTATCGATACATGTAATTTTCGTATTCTGAAATGAGTACAAATTATTTGAAAGGATTTCAGCAAAAATATTAAAGAGATGAACATGTACCAATAAATAAAATTTTTAGATCATGTACCTGTGTAAAATTACCGGATGACAAAGAAGTGTCCATAGCAGAACTGAAATATCTGCAATAAAATTTGTCAATATATATGTATTCTCCATTGTAAATTTATTGCAATTCATGAGTAACCAAAATGCAAATCCACTAGCGCCCCCCCCCCCCCCCTTTCTGAACAATTTTGTTGAACTGAATGATCTCCACAATTTTTTTTTTGAAAATTTAAATAATATAATTTTAAAATTACAAATACAAATTAAATTCTACATGTAATTAAAGTTATTTGTCATCTGCAGGCATATGTATGCCCCCTTCTCTGAAACACTTATGATATAAAACTAACATAAATAATAATGTTATAAAAGAGGCGTTTTATAACTTATTTTGTTATTTTCAAGATAATTTCACTTTTGGAAGATATGCTTTATAATAAAATCATAAAAAAAGCAATAATAATAATAATGAAAAAAATTGAGAATCAAATTTAGATTGTTTAATTAGTATATATTAATTCAGATTGCCAAAATTTAAAAAGATGTGGATACAAATGTATAATGTTAGGACAAAAGATCTTTAGACAAACAGACAGGTTGAGAAACAGACATTGTAAATCCAGTGTTTCCTAAAACTTTGGTTGGAAGAATATAACAAAGTAATTACATAGGGTTTACAAGTTACGTATTTTGAAGCAAATCTAGGATCATTTTTATTAATGAGCTGATTAGAAAGCTGACTGTACATTGAACTTATATAAATTATAAAACAGATATTCACACAGTAAATATTTTCTAGGGATATCTAGTTCAACTAAAACCTAAGCAACACTACAAATGAGTGCTTATAAGTCTTTAGGTTATATAGTATAGAAAAAAATCGATAAATATCCAAATAATTATATTTTAGTATTAAACGTTCTTTTTGAAAAATTTATCGTTGTGTAAACTCTTAACATTTAACTCATAAAATAAATAAAAGTGCGAAGCACTTTTATTTTAAATTTGTGAGTAAAATGTGAAGAGTTCACACTTTCATAGATTTTTCAAGAAGAACGTTTTAACCTTATAGTTCCAATTATGAATTTTTGAAATTATTTCTCTTTGAAGCCTTCATACATTCCGTTAATTTAGTTATATTTGTACTGCGTATGAATACAACATGTGTAAATAAAAGGTAATCAAGATGAGTGTCGATAAAGTTTAACTTCAATTGTGAAAACATTCAATAGGCCTAATATAAACTTTAAAAAACTCCTCAAATATTGTTTAAGTCAACAAATATCGTAAATACAAGTGAAATTCAGAAGAGATCGTCTTTGACCATGTTGATATTATCGACAACAGGGAGACAACGCTCTCAAACGAAAGTAGCAGACAGACGACAGCCTTACATGTGTTAGATTCACATGCATTTTACGTCAACGGCTATACAAGATTTCTACTTTCAATTTCATATCGTATATAAATATGCTAGCGTAGCTATTACAAAATGAAAAGAAATCAAGAAATTGGTAAGCTAATTCTAAATGGCCTTTACATTCATCGAAAACAAATCCAAAATTACTTATTGATCACAAGGCTTTAAACAAACTATATTCATTTAATTTTATACAATTACAGGAATGACTTCACTTTTATCTAATAGAAACCGAAACCGGTCCAGGAATAAAATGTGGAATGATTTTAATTTCACATATAAAATAAACCCAACCATAACGGTTTCTAAAAGAAATACAAGCCAGTTTATTATAAATGAATTTGGTCTTTCAGGAAAACAGATTTTGAATTTTATGATAGGATTTTTTAGGGGTGGGGGTAACAGAGTATATATATGAAATCGCCAAACCCACTAACTCCATATCTACCCTTACGCAGTCACTTTCGGAAAATTCCGCGCTGTTTGTAAATGAATGCGATTGTGACGTCATTTTTTCATTCTGAAAATCAAATTCCAAGTTACTATAGCAGTCACGATTAAAAATGCGTCAAAACAAATAAAATTAATTTATCTATTTAAGGTGTCATATTTTATGTGAAATCATTAAGCACCTTTTCCCTTATGTGCTATTCCATCGATATCAATGACAGGCGCGTCAACATGCTCATTTTCACCGGTCATAAATTTTTAGGAAGGTCTATTACAAAGGTTTACCATAACATACCATGTTGAATACGGCTAAAATATATTTAAGCATTGAATTCATATTTTTGGATGTCTTCGGTCCTATAACACACCTGGCCGTGCCGACAAATTGAATACCGCGCATTTGCGCGGTATAATAATTTGTCGGCACGGCTAGGTGTGTTATAGGACCGAAAACATCCAAAAATATGAATTTAATGCTTATATTTACATTCTCTAATTTTCCTTTTTCATAATTTCTTATTTCGTTAATCTTAAATGTGAATTTAGTGCCCTTCAAAACTGCCGAGGTTAATAGATGTAAAAGCCGTTTGTGACGTCAATTAAGGAATGTTTTTCAGTTTTGTGTGAGTTATTGGTGTGTGAATCACACAGACTTGTCACGTAGGCATATTTCATGAAGCGCTTCATGAAAAATATGCCTACGTGCAAGTCTGTGTGATTCTCACACCAATAATTCACACAAAATTGAAAAACATTCCTTATATTTACATTTTACATGTTTGGTAGCAACTAAAATATGCTAAATATTTGAATTTCTCGCTGCCCTATATCGCTTCATTTTTACTAACGTCGCTGCAGCCTCATTGTGACGTCATATTAACGCACGTTTCTCCGTGTATATTTCTACGCGTGAGTATGTACACGTAAATGGTTTTCAAATCAATTTCACAGTTGGCTTACTAGAAAAACACAGCGAATGTAAATATATGACGTTAAATGACGTTTCAAATTTAAATAACGCAAACAATCATTGCGAGGAAAAAAAAGTGACAAATTGATTCGTAATGCACATTACGTTAATTTTTACGCTAATTTTTCAGGGTTATATTTTTTCATTAAATTGAAATAAAACTTTTTACAGTTTGGTGTTCATAGAGTATTGAAAATGCATGTAGTTCCTATTGTGTATTCTAACGCGCGGTGACAAGATTTCGCGTGTGTTATAGAAATTTGAACGTCGTGGATTTCTAATAGATTTCATAAGGAAAATTACACTGAATGTAAGGCATTGAGATAACGTAAGCGCGACATTATACCTATAAAATACGTTATAATAACGTTATTATTTTGTGTTAGTTGCTGATGCCTTTCTAAAAATACAATTTAATACTATTTGAAATCTTAAAAACAGTTTTTTATGTTTAAAAATATAAGAAAAAGGTAATTAAAAGAAAAAGAAATTAAACTGGGGGAAAATTTGTCTTTAATATATCGGCATGTTGTAGAAAGCCCTAGTGACGGAGTTCACTTCTTTTGACGAAATGTACACTGGTGTAACAGACTTTCTATTTAGTGCTGTTATATAAGCTCAGTAACTGCACTCTTTTCTGAATAGCACTAAAGCAATGTTCAAGTTTATTTTTATGTGTAGCAAGCAAGAAACAAATCAAATTATAATTTGAAGAGAAGCGTGGGGGCGTTTTCCGCTTATGGTGACGGAGTTTGGGTACTCCGGGATACAAAGAGGATATTCAATGTTTTGTAGTTGGACATGGAATTTATATTACGAATTTGACAGGATTTTTTTTATTTTGATCAAAATATCAAAAAATCCTATCTCATGAGTCAAATAAATTCCATATCCAACTAGAAACATTGAATTTTCTGTTTATTTCATTTTCTTTGATTTTTCTTTTGCCTTTGTTTGTTTTTTCTTTTGTAATACAGTTTTTTCACTACATGACGTCATAGTAGAGCGTTTAAGACGTCGTAGCAAAGTGATGCAAGATTGAAAAAAATTGCAAACATGGATTTCAACAACATATTTAGAGGATCTTTGGTAGTTGTAGTCTCTGTCAGAATGGTTAATTTACTTTCTTTATCTTATAACAGGCCAAGGGATATTTTTACAACACTTTTCGTTATCGGAAGAAGAATCAAGAGTTTTGCCGCACTTTTGATATTTGTCACTCTGTGAAAGGATATTTTGATATCCTTTCACATTGTGATAGAATTTTATTTTTATTCAATAAATAAATTATAGTATTTCTCTGTTAAAAATGTAATAGACATTTA